AGAATAAAAAATGACTATTTTTTAGTGCTCAGGCATGTGATTTTTCCTATATTACTAACCAGTTTACATGCTCCACAGTTAACTACTGCTGTCCAAGTTGCTGTCTGAGTAGTGTCATTTTTTGACTGAACCCTGAGGAGTACTCCAGGTGAATTTTCGGTAGAAAAAAAAGTTGCTGAAAGTATTTAAAATATACATTGTTCAAGCCAGTTTTTTTTGCGTTGATTCCAAATATGTTATTAATTGTGGCCCGAGTTGTAGCTTTTATGATAAAAATATCGAGTTTCAGATTTAAGCCCTTACGCGTCCATTTTCTTTATTTTATTTTTGGAAAATTCAAGCATTTGCTAGTCAACAATAATCAATTGTACCATCAATTTCAGCTAATTCTACACTCATTTAGAGCCAATTCTATACCGATTTCAGACCAATTTTAGGAATTGAATTGACTCGAATTGGAATTGGTGCACCCCTACTTTTCCGTTTAAATCAGTTGATAGTGAATCATGTGAATAACTGGTAGCAGGCGGAAAAAGCAAAGTTTTTATTAGTTTTATAAAATACTATGCGTGATATATTTATCTGTCTTATTTATCAAATACTTAGATATACAAATACTTCAAATTAAACAATTTCATTCTGCAACTAAATGCACTTTTACAACAAAATAAAATCATTTAGAAATTACATTGTAGTGGGAGATCTATTGTACTCGCAATGCAGCTAGTGGCTCAATGTTTACGTTTCAGTGATACAATGGAAAGATAAGTATTATTTTTAAAGCTCTTTTTTTTGTACTTCTTTTCTGATACATCTCATCATTTCTCTTAAGAGTCTTAAACTTCAATGCTGTAAGATTATAGAATATTAAATCATATTTTGCATTGATACTACATCCTCGCTATGCTCTTTAGCTTCGTATTCGTATCTGTGTCGTATAGATTCTAAATTTTCTCGCTTACGTGACCTACCTCTATTTCTGGTTTGTTCATCACACAGTTACCAATCAATTAAAACGAATATCGGTCGAGTTCTAGAACCTGATATCTAATAGGACTCCACATGAATATGTTTTCAACATTTTCTTGTACTTGAAACTTTCCGTTCTATAATATTCAGGAAGTATTATGTGAATTAGTTTGTGTTCGATTGTGTGTGTTATCAAAGAACAACTACTACTCTCATTCTGTACACAACCATCCCATTAACTAATTTCGTCGTCTATACGTGTCATTCCATGAAATATTTAAAATCATTATCGTGCAAAATATCTTATGCATAAATTCATTTTTAATATTTGTCTTATTCAATCTATGTTCTCTGTTAAATGCTGTCTGCTAAATGAACTTCATAGATTTATTAATTCTGAAGCGATTTTATTTGAAATCAAACAATAAAAGGATAAACTTTATTTTGAATTAGTTTTTGTTGCTTTTTTTGTCGCATGAATAGGTGCGATTTTGTTTCATTGACAAAATGACCACTATCAATATATTGATGACATGGACATTGACACCATTCAAATGAAGATGAATGATTAGAAGATTTGGGCGTGGATTCTAGTCGATAATCAGTTTTATCTTCTGATAAAGCAATCAATGATTTATCAGAATCTTTTGAATCCGATGAAAAACAATCACGTAGATCAAACTAAATGATTTTAATAAAGATTTCCGATCGAAAGACATGCATGAAGTAAACCTACATAATCATCATTTCTTGACAGTTGGCGAGTCAGTGTCGAATGGTGTGTACAATTATTTGGTTTATCTATATCATTGTCGGGCACGATTTCTGAACCAAAACTATCAATATCAAATCCGGTTATCAGAAGATACTCACTTGTGTTTGAAGATGATAACCTGAATGTAATTCGAATAGCTCGAGCAATTTTCTAACAGTTAGAATAGAAAAGAAATACAGTTAAACAAAAAGATGTCAGACTTACTTCTAGAAATTTTTTTGGCATGTTCAATATTTTATGTGGTAAATATTGTGCTAGAGAGTAGGACGTATAGACTATTGCAGAAATGAACAATGATCCAAATACGAAACAGCACTGCCCTTTAAATATATTTTTCTTTTTCTTCTCTTATTAGACACGCGTAATACAATATATATAATTAAATATAGATAATCTTCTTACATCTTCTTCAATCATTCATTAATTGATGAATATCTTTCCCGTATTCGAAGTAGAATCAGAACAAAGCTGGTGTGATGTTATTCTCATCTAGCATTCATACGTTTTCTTCTTTTTAAACTCATTTCACTTTGAAAAATGGATGAAAAAAAATAATACTTGAGGGTGTGGGTGTGAATTTAAATGCATGCGCCTATGCCCATATCCACACTCTCCAAAGCTTTGCCCAGAAACAACAGTTTGTTGAGATCTATTCCAGAAAGAATAAGCCCAATAATCAACAATAAATCTGAAAGTTGAAAGAAAGTTAAGGTGCACGTAATTCAAAGTTTCCACAAGTTTTTGTTTTTGTTTAAACACATATGGTTGGATTCATCGTATGATGCCGATCATGAATCTGACCTTGCTTTTTAAAAAAAAATTTCGTGAAGAATAATGCAAAATTGTGAAGAGATCTAATCTTTTTGAAACGTAGGAGAAAAATCTTTTCTTTTCTTTTCTTCTGATTTTTCAAGTCATATTCAGATTCTTCGTATGAAACTGAGTCTCGAAATTTTAACTAGTTAAAATTTCGAGACTCAGTTTCATACGAAGAATCTGAATATGACTTGAAAAATCAGAAGAAAAGAAAAGAAAAGATTTTTCTCCTACGTTTCAAAAAGATTAGATCTCTTCACAATTTTGCATTATTCTTCACGAAATTTTTTTTTAAAAAGCAAGGTCAGATTCATGATCGGCATCATACGATGAATCCAACCATATGTGTTTAAACAAAAACAAAAACTTGTGGAAACTTTGAATTACGTGCACCTTAACTTTCTTTCAACTTTCAGATTTATTGTTGATTATTGGGCTTATTCTTTCTGGAATAGATCTCAACAAACTGTTGTTTCTGGGCAAAGCTTTGGAGAGTGTGGATATGGGCATAGGCGCATGCATTTAAATTCACACCCACACCCTCAAGTATTATTTTTTTTCATCCATTTTTCAAAGTGAAATGAGTTTAAAAAGAAGAAAACGTATGAATGCTAGATGAGAATAACATCACACCAGCTTTGTTCTGATTCTACTTCGAATACGGGAAAGATATTCATCAATTAATGAATGATTGAAGAAGATGTAAGAAGATTATCTATATTTAATTATATATATTGTATTACGCGTGTCTAATAAGAGAAGAAAAAGAAAAATATATTTAAAGGGCAGTGCTGTTTCGTATTTGGATCATTGTTCATTTCTGCAATAGTCTATACGTCCTACTCTCTAGCACAATATTTACCACATAAAATATTGAACATGCCAAAAAAATTTCTAGAAGTAAGTCTGACATCTTTTTGTTTAACTGTATTTCTTTTCTATTCTAACTGTTAGAAAATTGCTCGAGCTATTCGAATTACATTCAGGTTATCATCTTCAAACACAAGTGAGTATCTTCTGATAACCGGATTTGATATTGATAGTTTTGGTTCAGAAATCGTGCCCGACAATGATATAGATAAACCAAATAATTGTACACACCATTCGACACTGACTCGCCAACTGTCAAGAAATGATGATTATGTAGGTTTACTTCATGCATGTCTTTCGATCGGAAATCTTTATTAAAATCATTTAGTTTGATCTACGTGATTGTTTTTCATCGGATTCAAAAGATTCTGATAAATCATTGATTGCTTTATCAGAAGATAAAACTGATTATCGACTAGAATCCACGCCCAAATCTTCTAATCATTCATCTTCATTTGAATGGTGTCAATGTCCATGTCATCAATATATTGATAGTGGTCATTTTGTCAATGAAACAAAATCGCACCTATTCATGCGACAAAAAAAGCAACAAAAACTAATTCAAAATAAAGTTTATCCTTTTATTGTTTGATTTCAAATAAAATCGCTTCAGAATTAATAAATCTATGAAGTTCATTTAGCAGACAGCATTTAACAGAGAACATAGATTGAATAAGACAAATATTAAAAATGAATTTATGCATAAGATATTTTGCACGATAATGATTTTAAATATTTCATGGAATGACACGTATAGACGACGAAATTAGTTAATGGGATGGTTGTGTACAGAATGAGAGTAGTAGTTGTTCTTTGATAACACACACAATCGAACACAAACTAATTCACATAATACTTCCTGAATATTATAGAACGGAAAGTTTCAAGTACAAGAAAATGTTGAAAACATATTCATGTGGAGTCCTATTAGATATCAGGTTCTAGAACTCGACCGATATTCGTTTTAATTGATTGGTAACTGTGTGATGAACAAACCAGAAATAGAGGTAGGTCACGTAAGCGAGAAAATTTAGAATCTATACGACACAGATACGAATACGAAGCTAAAGAGCATAGCGAGGATGTAGTATCAATGCAAAATATGATTTAATATTCTATAATCTTACAGCATTGAAGTTTAAGACTCTTAAGAGAAATGATGAGATGTATCAGAAAAGAAGTACAAAAAAAAGAGCTTTAAAAATAATACTTATCTTTCCATTGTATCACTGAAACGTAAACATTGAGCCACTAGCTGCATTGCGAGTACAATAGATCTCCCACTACAATGTAATTTCTAAATGATTTTATTTTGTTGTAAAAGTGCATTTAGTTGCAGAATGAAATTGTTTAATTTGAAGTATTTGTATATCTAAGTATTTGATAAATAAGACAGATAAATATATCACGCATAGTATTTTATAAAACTAATAAAAACTTTGCTTTTTCCGCCTGCTACCAGTTATTCACATGATTCACTATCAACTGATTTAAACGGAAAAGTAGGGGTGCACCAATTCCAATTCGAGTCAATTCAATTCCTAAAATTGGTCTGAAATCGGTATAGAATTGGCTCTAAATGAGTGTAGAATTAGCTGAAATTGATGGTACAATTGATTATTGTTGACTAGCAAATGCTTGAATTTTCCAAAAATAAAATAAAGAAAATGGACGCGTAAGGGCTTAAATCTGAAACTCGATATTTTTATCATAAAAGCTACAACTCGGGCCACAATTAATAACATATTTGGAATCAACGCAAAAAAAACTGGCTTGAACAATGTATATTTTAAATACTTTCAGCAACTTTTTTTTCTACCGAAAATTCACCTGGAGTACTCCTCAGGGTTCAGTCAAAAAATGACACTACTCAGACAGCAACTTGGACAGCAGTAGTTAACTGTGGAGCATGTAAACTGGTTAGTAATATAGGAAAAATCACATGCCTGAGCACTAAAAAATAGTCATTTTTTATTCT